AATTGAAACAGTCTTACTTTATGATGGCCTTCCGTAGAGCTCTATTTTTAATACAGGAACTCGTCTGTAAAGAAAATATACAAATGCATAAATATTACTAATATAACTATTCTAAATATAAAATTTAAATTACCATTTTCTTTCGTACAGTGTGCTTTTTGCAAGTTAACATGCTTATAACCTAATTTAACATATTTTAGTATTTGAGGTTAACCAACAGTGAATATTATTTTCCCATATCCATGTTCAATAGTTTTTTAATACAAATTTTAATTTCAGATTTTACTTTCCTAGATTATAATGGATAATAATATTTTGTACTTACAATGTCTACGAGATTTGCCTGCCATGAGATACAGAATTATGAATGAAATCAAACTTAGTGAGGGAAATGAAAAAAGAAACAATGTTACCACTACAAACAATTCAAATAAATCAATTTTGCTTCTTACATACTATAACTAAATTTGCTGGATTTTTTTTTTAAACAAACAATATAAGAATCAGTATATACCATATCACCATGTATTATATTACAAAAAAATATTAGCGAACTAGTAAAAAAATACACTTGAATACTATGCTTTGAGTAAAATGCATAATGTGAAAACATTACTAGCACAAACTCATTAAACTAACCCCGTATTAAACCACTGCAAAAATAAATTAACGTATACATTTGCTTTCATGTAGACGGTAATAAAATAAATTGGGTGTTAAAAAATCTACTTAAAGCTCCAAGTCAAACAAATTATTTTAGTGAAAGTGAAATAGTGCTTAAGTCTTGTTAGATTGAAAGAATTTCATCTTTGAGACAAATATTAAAATAATTATTGTAATATATGTAATTTACCGTAATTCGTGGATATATTTTAAAATTTTTGAAAGGTACCATATACTTAGTCTTTGCATTTTGCCTGTTAGTGAACTAACTGCTAAGATTTTGACTTTAATGAAAATATTGTCCATAGAATCATTTTTTTATTTACGAAATGATGTTTTCATTCCCACTCCCACCTCCTAAAACTTTAAATTTTTGGTATAGGCTACACTAGATGCATGATATAGTAAAACAGTAAGAAATTTTTTTTAATTCCATTTTATCACGTTAAACCTGAAATATTTTGATGTTATAACAAACTGAATACGAAGAATAGGTTTTTAATTGTAACCCCTATAACAATAGCTAAAAAATAAATAAAACGGGTTACACTTATTTACTGTTTTGACCGAGGTAAAAGAACACGTTTTTGCGTCCACCGCTAGGACCGCCTTGTAGTTACGGCGCACTCGCTACGCACCTACACGACACTCCTAGCGGTGGACGCCAGACCACATGCTAACCGCAGCACTGCTGTCAGTCTATAATTAATTGTATTTGTCTATGCTGAGAACTAGTACACTTGTAGACTTACTTTTACTTTTAAAAAGTGATATTCTCTGAACACAAATTGTCATTCCTCTAGTTATCGGAAAAAATCTAAATGAATACTTCAAATACGTAATCCTACCACAATGGCCTCTATATCTTATATGGACTAATCAAACCTGAATATACAGACATTGCTATTTCATAGTGTATGCTTGTGCTTCATTATCGCTAAAATCACCATTTGTTTTTCACATACAACTTTGCCAACGTCAAAGTAAATTATAGAATAATATATCGGGATAGTGGAACACTCCCAAGGAAATCTTCCTGATAAAATCTATAATACATCAATTCGATATTCCATAAAATATCCGTAGCCAAGTCTCCCCAAGACTTGGCCACCTTTCAACTACTTACCATATTAAGGGTTGGACTCAGGCCTTTGAAGCCTTAGATATCAGGATGTTCAAGATTGTGTTATTGGTGTAAGACTTTTAGTTTTATATTTTAAATGTAACATACGATTAAATTTCATTTAAAATGAGTTTTTATGGATTACGTATAGAATTGTGGTATATAAGTACAGGACATACATTTTTTAACAAAAGTTCTATTACAATGGACTGAATTTTAATCAAACCATTTAATTTCAAATACAATATATTAACGTCATATTCTTTACATTTATGTTTTTATAGTATTTATTCATGAAAAAGTTCAGAGAGAGGCCTTGAGCATCAAAAAGAATTTCAGGTTTAATTGTCAAATATGCAATAGGTTAAAAGAAATAACTTAACTTGTACACCCCATTGTTCTTGATGCATTATTATTTTATTATATTTTATTGAATACGGAATTGAGAATAAATAATATATGATGGGAATGGCTTCATTCAAAAATTTCTGTTTTCACTGCAACCAATAACTCCTATCAATAATTACTATTAACGGTTATTTAAATCAACAGAATGTCATAACTTTTTTATCCAAACTTATAAGGTATAAAGAAAAACCATCAATTATCTTAAAAATATGCTTATAAATGGTTAAAACGATACACCAAAAATGTATCAATTGGAAAAACTAATAATCAGAAATAATAAGATTTTTTATAAAAAGGTTCGACTATAAGACAAAGTTCTAAGTAAAGTCTTCATCAAATGGGTTTCTAAAGGGAGAAGAACCACTCTCGGTATAATTCTACCTAGAAACTTCCAATTCCTAGTATAGAATTTTACAAAGTCGAAGGTATTTCTTTTTCGAAAATAAACTAAAAATCCGGAGTTCAATCTACTAATGGTGTCTCAGAAAGACCCAAATCGAAGTTTCTTACTTATTTGACCTTAGTAAATTTATTTTATAAAACATGCCATCAACCAATGTTTAATATGTATGTAATGGAATTAAAGCATAGGCCTGTAAGAATTACCATACCAAACATTTTATATTAGATAAATATATGTTTTTCAATAAAGCAAACTTAGCACCACGTAGTATTTTATTACAGTTAATTAGTAAAAACAATTAACTAGCAATTAATTAGTAAGAACCAAAGTCACCATTGAGTTTGTACTAACTGATAATTTTCTTTTTCAAATTGCATTTAAACGACAGATAAAACGTATTAATTAATAAATATTAATAATAATTAAATAAATAATTAATAAATAAAAATAAATATTAATTAATTAATAAATTAAACTACAAAAAAAATCCTTTCTTACCAAAACGTTGATCGAATATTGTGTGTGAAACTTTACGCTGGAATACTTTTCTGAGAATATCTAAATGCAACAAGTTTAACAGAGGTTTGGCAAACAAAATTTTTAAACTCTTTTACTTTATAAACCTCAGGGTGTTCATATTATTGGTAAAACTGACATAAAATACTTCCATCTTAAATGGAAACTCAATAGTTACATATGTAACAAAATAACTAAATAGGAACCAAAATTGTAATATATGTGTGTTCTTCAATACATTGTATTACAACAATTGTGTATAGACGACCAATGTCTATGTTATTGAATTATTTTATCATCCCAAAACCTTTTCATCTTGTTTAAAACGTTTATTGTATTCAATACAGGGTGAAGGTAAGGGAACAATCAAAGGAGCAAATATCTAGAACTGTCTTTCCTTTATTCTATTGAAAGATTCTATCGGAATATTACCAATAAAAAGAGATAAACCCTTTGCAGTCTGTGACTTACATGTAGAACGGCTTCAATAGAATATTCCTTCGAATCGCCATTGAAATATTTGCTCCTTGATGTAATGCTTCTTTGAGGAAATTGATTGTATAGTTTTTTTTTTTTTTTTTTTTTTTTTTAAAGAGAGGATAGTATAGTAGGGAGGATTTGTATAGTAGAGAGGATCTTTGTAATCATATTGGGAATTTTCAATTTACTTTTAATTTATATTATAACTCATATAGAACATTATATTATTTTCTATTTTTCCCCTGTTATGTCACACATAGATAATTCTGGTTGGAATAACTAACAATTCATCAGCTATCACAACAAGTTCTCCCCCCTGAAAAAAAAAGGTTATAACCCTTAATATTGATTAGGAATATTGTGGGAGTCTGACAAAAATATTCTATTCAAAACCATTTGTAGTTATGGATTACAACCAATAGAATGAATATAAATACAAATGATAATGCATGTTTACTCAAATGTTTTCCGAAAAATTTAGTCACTATTTGAAAACTCACCACATTTAACCCAGCTCAGCATGCCTACGTCTTATGCAAGTTGGAATTAAATATCAAAAAATATATACAGTATTTTAAATTTACAAAACACATCTAACATCCTGCAGAAGTAAGAAAATGCATTTATATTTTATTATAAATCGAATTAATGCAATTGAGTTATTAATTAGTCGTAGAACATAGAGGATATATTCTGGACCTTAGTGCATTTTGCCAATTGCCTGTCAAATATTGATGCTGAGAAGGAAAGCTTGAATAAGGATGGTAAAATTACCAGAGTTTGTACCATTCCCTTACAAATAAAAAACTATAAAATACCAATACCATTTAAGAAAATAAAAATAAAAAACTAAAAATTAATGTCCTATAAATGTAAAAAAATTCTCATATGAAAATATTTTAACAATATTATTTCCATTTTCTTTAGAGGAAAATGTTTCATTGGTTTATTTAAATTGTCTCAAAAGGATCAATGGTTATAATGGAATAAGCCTATAAGCGCTCTTTAATCCATTCTAATTACTTAGGCTTTTTCCTGAGACGATCTCTCTGTATTAAACCTTTAATGTGAATTATTGTACTTAATTGAAGTTCAAAATACCGTACAAATTTTGCTTTTATGAATTTAACAATTGCTTGAATAGTGATGTTACAGTTATTCAATTTTTTCATACCATCTCTTTGGTATATAAATATAAGTATCAGAAGATAAAAAACACCGGTTGAAAAATTTATAAATCTTTCATTGAGGAAAATATTTATTTCTATTTTTTTATGCCCTATGACGCATGTACGATAGCAAGTTATATTAAAATTATAACTAACTTTTATGATTATATTTTTTTCTGAAATATTTCTGATCCCTTATTTAACCTGTATTGGTAATAAAAAGTTATTGTTGTTTCAGGTACGCCTAGGGACATAATGTAAGTACATTTTTAAACTTTTATTATACTTTTACTTTAATTCTAGTTTGTAAGTGAGAACTAAGAAGAGGAAGGTCTACGACTCTAGCAAAATGTCTTTTAAAATTTCATAAAATAGACCACTACTCAAAATAGTAAATAAGAAAAGTTTTTTTAAATATTATCACCATTTAGCTTTTAAAAAAATGTAATACAATATCACTATATAAAATTAATGATGTTTGAAGTGGTACTAATACAAAATCTCATTCGGTAAAAAAATATGTACAATGTTTTATGTGGTTTATTAATACCAAAGTATGTAAATATGTAATTTTAGAATTTTAATCGTCAATGTGTAATACATTGACGATTAAAATTCTAAAATTACCATCCAAACCAGTATTTGCAAGAATTAATTCATTTATGACATACTTTTTCCATTTTTTTTTAAACGTGCCTATAAATCTTGTAATTTTTTACGTTTTTCTTATAGAATCAGTTTTATATTACGTTGTGTTACTTAAAAAAAATAACACAACATTTTTTTACTAAGGTATACACATTTAACTCTTCTGGCTGTTTTAAATTCGTTGAAATTAACAATTTAACTTTCAGCTCTTTAAAACAAAGAAAAATCCGATATCATGCCAAAACAGACATAAATCACAATAGCAACTGAATGGCCTAGTTCAAGCCCTCTTTGAAAACAGATATTCGATATTGTAGTTAATTTACATGACTGTTGCCAATATTTGTATTGTTATTTGTTTTGATATTCCCCTTTAAGCCATATCATGGCCCATACTATTCTAGAGAACTCTTAAGACAATGCATTGATTACCTACCTTAGAGTAGAAGCTGTTCAAGTAACATCTAATAACTTATTGTCTAGGCAAATATATAGGAATACCTAATTGACTAGACTTTTCACTGTAAATAAAAATTTATTTTGCAAATACTGCATGCTCAAACATTTATTTAAAGGTGCATGATTAAACAGGTATCCAACAAGGTATACCACTTATCTTAATATGCAACAAACCTTCTTTTTCCCTAGGCTGATCTACATATTATACACATGTAATTCCTAGAAAACCTCATACAACGATATTACTATTCTAGTTATACTGAGGAATCTTTTGGTTGAGTTTTAAGAATAATGAGTAATGCATATTTTTTTCTCATTCTTTTATTTAACTATACGACATGAATGGTTGTGAGTTCACAGACAAAGCTTGTCCCGCATTTTCTTGACAATCGCGCAAGAACGTTTTGTACTTGTTTTCCGGCTCTTGTTGACCGAACCGAATGATAAACAACTGTACAAATGTTGATGAATCGATATCTCAAGTCTTAGAAGAGGGGCTATTTGGGACAAACACCTCAAACTACATGCTAGTAGACTTCCTTGAGGATGAAACTAAACGTAATGGTTAACTCCATTCTTATATAAGAAAAAAAAAACTCACTTTGTGCAATGCCAATTGAGGAAATAGATGGTGGTATTCCGCAAACCTATCTCTTCCGGGTTTAATTGCATGAACACCAATTTTCCTTCTACGAATTTTTAAGGAATCCAGGACCAGCTTTCTTTGTGAACGCACCCTTAGAGACCTTTAACTTATCAAACTTATGTAATGACCTTAAAATAAATCTAAGAACCATATGACCACTTGTAAAAGAGTACTTTAAAACAATCTTTTTTGTTAAGAAGACATAAATCTTACTTTGCATAATTATTTCACTTGTAAATTATAGTCTGGAACTTTTGGCTGAAAAGTTTTAAGTGGCTTTACTTGTTTCAACTGCGTTGGCATTTATTCAAGAGAATGAATTGTTTAATGAATTAGAGGTACTCTTGTGTATAAAAATTACGAATTGCATGTAAAACCTAATGTTTTTAAGAGAGCCTCGTACGTTATTTTTAATTGAGTAATGATTTTACTTCCTAATATTTTTTGCCATTTTATTGTGTTCATTCTAAACATTGACTATGTTTGCTTATATTACATACGTAAAACAAAACTTACTAACTTTTACCATATTTATTTTAAATCAAAATTAAATGCATTTTTACTCTAATATCAAACTACCCATTAATGATCAATGTATGCAAATTATTGAAAAGTGCTCGAAGTACCTTTTATATATTTAACACATAATCTAAGGTTTGTAAAATCTCCAGCGGCTGCAAGTGGATAGCAAAAGTCAATATTCATAAAAGTCACAGAATCATTTTTATCGATATTGTTATAGCTTCTAGGATAGATGCATGATTAAAAAAAATATAGCATCATAGTGCGAATATTTAAAAGTCATCATAAAAGGATTTGTATTTGTAAATTGATAAAGCATTACAATTTGTAAGATTTTCAGTTCTTTCAAAATTTTAATTTCTTTTTAAATGCAAATATTCAACAGATTTTGTCTAGTTAATTAGATGTCATACTTAATTGTTTGTGAACTTTAAGAAGCCACTTCAAAAGAATAAAACGGGGATATTTACTGATGAAAGATAAGATGGTTTTGCATTTTATCCATCCACAGTTTGAAGTAAAACAGGAAAGAATAGTATCTTCTTCTTCGCTTTAAAGAATTTAATTTCAACCCCTAGTACAGTTTCCAAAAAGGATGTAAAACAGGCGTTTCTCTGCACAATTTTCATTTTTAAGCTTAGACAGTTTTTAAAATAGTTTTAAAATTTACTCACTATCAGCCCAATACTTTACTAACCAATATTGTTGGTACCCATTACGCTAAAACGTCTCAATATCAAAGGGGACCTCAGTTACTCAGGGACTTGAGGTAATGCCAATTACCATATTCAAGTCAACCTCAAGTAATTCAATTTGCTAGACCTCTTGTCGGTAAAGGAAAAAGGCTTTGTGAGTTTTTTTTTATTAAAATAAATTTATAGTTTGCAAATGGAAGGTAATCCACCATATTTAGTGAGTGGCTTAATACATTATATGTTATTATTACAATATCTTACAATGATTTAACTGTGTTTGCAGTAAAAAAAATATATATATATATTCTTTAAGCTAAGGTAGTTAAACGTGTTCAACAACGTTAAAAAAGAGGGTTTCAAGTGATTTTACGTGTTGCGACACTTGTACGACTTCACTATAAGAGAAAGCTTGTATCTAAATTGTTGAATAATTTGAAAGTGCTCTTAGCAAAGGTTTATAGTAGCTCTTATCATTTGAAATGATACCTAAATAGCTGTCAAATTATAATTCACTTGGTACCGTAAAATATAAGTGAATGGAGATATTATTATTCCTCCGCTAACAGATACAACATTATGAGGTTTAAAAGTTTGATTGGAAGTTATTCTTGTAATGATCTTTTAAAATTCTTTACTTAAATTAATTGACAGATATATTATAAGTTCTAAAATATATTCCAATACTGTATATTTTGTCATGGCTCTTCACTACTTATGTTCCATAACAGTTTTATAAGCTATTATCATTAGGTACAAATAGGTACATAAACGTTGATACATTAGTTGATATTACTGACAATACCTTTATACATAAATCTAGATTTTTTTACGATTATGGTTTATTCACTTCTTTTACACCTGACATTACTTCAATAAGTATTAAATGTGTTCATACCCTTAATATGATCCACATCGGGCGAAAACATAAAAGGTTACTTTAAGCATGAATCTGTCTAGCAAAGTATTTTATAATATTACTTTTTTACGTATAAATAATTCAGTTGAGCTGAAATAATTTATAAAATAATGCGGATATAAATATATTTTCCATGTCATAAACTGGCAGCCTTTGCGTTTTATGATGCTATTTATGAAACGTTTGAATTGTTGTACGAGCTTCTGGTAATATCTATAAACCTCCTCCACTGACATTTTCTCGGGTATTCTTGTAAGATAACTTATAAATAAAGATGAGGAAGTCATAAAAGAATACATTTATAATCCCATAAAATGATAAAGAATATATTAATATATATATATATATATATATATATGGTTTTATATATGGTTGTTTCTTTAAAGTTTATCTTATCAGTTAATGATGTTACCGAGTCGTTAGGAAAACCTGTGTTTTTGTTTTTTTTTTCCTTAACACGAACAAAAATCGATAAAGACTTTCCGATCTGATAACATTAAAGAACACATAGATACCATTATTTAATATATTAACTTCCATGTGATAACTCGCAATCAGCACTAAAGATCTTTAGAATGTATTACTATGTCTATATATATACTGTATATATGTATATGTACTACTTAAATAAAAGTGCTTTATAAATATTTACCTACAAAACACATCATGGCTTAAATTGTTCATAACTAAATAGAAGCAATAGAAGCATAGAATATTAAGAACATTTATAGAATTGTTTCTATGCAAACCATGTTTTTCAATCTGTTCTCATAGCTCTTACATTATACTGTTATGTTCTGTACAATATATCCATAATAAATTACACGAAACGTCTAACTATCAAAGGAGACTCGTGCCTGCCCAAGTACTTGAGGCATGGCCAATTACTATATTCAAGGCCACTTGAAGTACTTCAATTTGTGGAAGTTTCCTTGTTAAGGATAAACCTCGTATGGGTAATACGTTTAACAAACATTTATGGCGTATTTGTATCTATTTCTATTAACATTTTTGTGTGTGTATTGCTTTATATATGTTTTTATCGTTTCAATTTATAAGTTGAATTTTATTGAACTGCTAATAATAATAGTGAAATCGTGTTTATAAAATGGACGAAGTAGTTGTTGTCTAAAAATATAACTTTTTTATGTAAATTAAATAAGGATTTATATAGCCAAACAATATGGCCTCATAGTACTTTTAACAATGATTCAACTATATAGTTTAATCGGTTTAAAATAAGCAGTAACAGGTCAACAGTAACACCTCCAGGAATATGCACAGTAGAACTTAATAAACGGTCAACTGATTTCTAAAAGTAAGGATGTTATTAAGAAGCTAAATTACGAGTTTAACAAATACCATCCTTTT